TTACACCCTTCGGGGTGTAAAAATTTTTACTGTGTAGTAGCACGGAGATGCGTTGAGTTTCTATTATCGCACTTGAATGAATTCAGTGCCGATTTTTTTGAAAAGGGAAACGATTAAGAGGACACACACGTGTACCGACTTTCAACAAATGATTGATTTATATGTGGGGTTTGACGTCCCACAGCCACCATATGATTATGAGACGCCGCGCAGTGAAGGGATCCGCAAATTTCAACCACCTGTGGTTTTTTTGTAACCAGCAGGCGAATATGAGCACACGAGCCTACAGCGTTCTCGCCCCCCCCCCCACGAAAAATTTAGCCAACACCTCCGCGATTCAATCCCGTGACGTGTGGGTTAGCAGCGATTTTAAAAGAAATGATTGATAGTAATGTGGGTGACACATATTTATACATCGAACCAATGCACACGCATGTACAGATGCAGTTTCATTGAGGAAAACAAGTTTTATTTTGTCTGATGGTGAGACAGGGTACTGACACAATTGTCCCGCAGACCACGAATAGTAGCCGATTCTACGATTAATAAAGTAGTTTTGCGAATGGTCCGGTGAAGAGCACATACATAGAAAAGTGGAACGCAGTGACGCGTGCTGCAGATTATTGATAACCAACCATCGCCACCTTGCCTTACAATACTGCAATGTTCCCTGAGCTGGTCATTAGGACGTCGCAACGTGGCCCCGTTTGCTTTACGTATGGTGTGCCAAATAGGCAAGGGAAATCTGGTAAACAACTCCTTTTTTTGCAGGGTACGTAATGTGCCCTGTGGTTCATACTGCAGCCAAGCCATGCTTGAGCAAATGGGTTGCAGCTTTTACGTAGCTTAGCCAGCCTATTTAAGGCGTACACACCACGCCAATGTTCGCCCAACAACCCACATTTCTTACAGTTAGAGATATACTGTGCTGGTGGGGCACAGCGAAAAACATCATTTGGCCATCAAAACCATCAGTTCGTGCAGTTGGCTCCGGGAATACGGTTGTTTTCTTTTTTTGAACAGGAATTCTTTGACTGATACAACAAGGTAATCGGGATAACCTCCTTGCTCAAGACGAGTTTCTTGGTGTTCAAGGCTCTTCTCGAAAAGATGGGAACAATATTTTTTAAGTGCATGATCGAGGCAGTGGACCTTTTACTAGCTTTGAGTGTGAAGAGTGCAAAGGTAACAGCTGTTTGCTTGCCCACGGTTCGTAAGACCTGCACGTGTGCTTTTCCTGCAAATTAAATCATACATCGAGGAACCTTGCTGCACAATCCTCACTAAGAAGCTCTTGGGTGAGAACATGTGGCCGTAAGCGAATGTTAATATGTTAGCTGCTTCAAGTTTGAACAAAATTTTGTCACTCTTGATAAAAAACAAAAAGTCGTCTACATATCTAAGCTGCGCCAAAAGAACGCCGTTAAGATCGGCTAAAAATAGATAGCTAAGAACAGGCACAACACACACGTTCCTTTTGATTAAAAGGTGTTTCATCCCATTGCATTTAGCTCGAGTCGAGGTACAAAGCTTAAGGATATAAAAGATGCTTGCATGAGATACGTGGCGCCTACCTAAATTCTGTCCAGAAAAACTTATCAAGGGCACCCTTGATGCACTTCAGTAAAGCATCACAGGGAAATAGTTAAAGATGGCTCTAAAATACAGAGATATGGCAGAGTAGCCTTCATTAGGGTGTGGGGAAGAGCCTTCCGGAAACACCGTCAAAGCCGAAAAAACTCGCCTGAAGCAAGCACGTTATCCGGATGACCTCGTTGTATCGGTCGAGGAATTCCTGCTCAAAAAGCCGTCCTCCAGCAGCCATGCTGCACGAACTGCTGTTTTGCATGGCTGAAATAAGTTTGTCGTTACGCCCCACTTCCACAGAATATAACTTAACGTAAAAAAAGTTGTATGCAGGGTAAACTACGTAAAAACTGCAACGCAGTCGCTAAAAAAGGGTTACCTTCAATACGAATCACAGAGCGTGTTACGTACCCTTCCAAGAAGGTGGGCTTCACCTGCACAGGGTATCTCTCAATGTAACAAAAAGATGGGTGCTTGGGCGAACATTGGAGTGGAATTCAGGACCTCAAATACGTTGACTAAACTACGCAAAACTGCAAACTAGTTGCCAAGGAAGGCTTGGCTTCCATATAAACCGCAGGGCACGCTACTTAACCTGCCAAAAAGGCGTTTATTGCCCGATTGCGCATCCTATTTGGTAAACGTTACGTAGGGCAAATGAGGCGATGTCTTAATGACCGGCTCAGGGAACATTGCAGTAATGTAAGAGAAGGTGGTAATGGCTGGTTAGCAGTACACTGTAGTACGCATGACTGCGTTCCACTTTTACATGGCAGTTTCATTGTGTGCAGGAAACCTTGCCAAAACCACTAGATAATCACAAAATGAGCTACTATTCGTACGCTGCGTGATGAAAGTGTCAGTACCCCGACTCCCTCTGACAAAATAAATAACTTGTATTCCTCAATGAGAGCATGTGCGAGTGTTAGTCCGATGCATAGATGTGTGTTATTCACAGCTTGATAAATCATTCATTGGAAGCTAGCACTTGTGTGTGTCCTCTTCGCCCTTTCACCTTTCCAAAAAGTCTGTCCTACTCACAAGGCCAAAAGTCTCCCCTTCCTAAATTTCTTTTATCAGCTGCGTGATTTGGTTTCTGTTTCTGGCCATTAAAGTGCAGTATTCCCACCCATGTCTGTACTTGAAATTCCTGATGTAGATGGCCGACCAGTTACTTGTTTCATTCGTGACAATACTAGCGTGCTCACGTGGGCAATCGTTAATACACCGGGATGATTGCCCTATGCAAAGCGACCACATGAATAAGGTATGCGGTAAGCTATTCCTTCTTTAATCTGATTAGACTGGTGCTATGCTTCTTATTGCACATCTTTTTGTTTCTGCTATTGTCATCAGCCATTCTTCATAGTTTCATAGTCACCACAATTTAACCTCAGCACACTGGGCGATTTCGTAGCGTAAGCTGCACTGGCCGAGCTTGAGGAGTTTCGCATGGCTTACGGTGAGCAGATCTGCGCGAGCACGAGAAACAGTGACATCACATGGTACACAGCCGGCGTGCCGAGGGCCTGAAAGCACCTGGAGTGACGTTTCTCTGGTGGTTTGGCACTTTACTCGCGTGAGATCAGTCGCTCTCTAGTCCGTCCGTTCATCAATTCATTCACCCGTGGTTTCTTCGTTCGTAAATGGATCCATGGTTCGTTCATCCATACATGATTTGTGCGTCCGTGGCTCGTTCCTCCGTCCATGCACAGCTCACGCGGCGTATATCCTGGCTTCTCCGAGTGAGGCTACGGCTAATTTTTTTTAAGATTGTGTGATACCCTATATCTGTTGTTTTTCTTCACTTACTAGACGTCACGTACTGAAATTTCACGCACTGAAATTTTTATGCTTCTGAGCAGTTTTTTTTGACACAGAAATTATAATCTGTCCCGGGTATTCGGTCTTTGACAGACGTGTATATTGATGGGCCAATACATTTTCAATGAAGTGTGGACTGCATTTTTACAAGTCGTTCGTGATGCAAGTATTACGACTGTCCACTTGGTCGGTTTCGAATATGTCGAATCGAAAAAAGAATGTGTCGAGCGAAAAAAGCACACATGATTTTGCCTAAAAATATACTTTATGACTGAAAAACAAGTGGTTCCTTCACTTCGTAATTGATACGTTATCTGAAGGACTTCTGGACATTTTGCTGCAATGGACAGTGCTTTGTTAACTTTTCGTTTAAACCCTGATGCATGAAAATCTGAAGAAATAACATAAAATCATCAACGTATCTAAAACCCTTGTGCACTTTCGTTGTTAATATTTCGGTATTGCTTGTTCTGCCTGGGTGCAAATAAAAACAAGCCACAAATTATTGGTGCTGTACATGACCCTATGCACACACCCTACACGTCGTCATCAGCGCTACGTTTTCAAACTGTGAACATGTTTTTGCTTAAGGCTAAAGTGGAAAAAGGACTGTAAATAACTTTTCAACACTCAAGGTTTCGATGCATCATCGCCTTCATCCTCATCCCAATCAACACCTTTTCACTACTTTCTCCACCACCCCTTCCCTTACCTAAAGCTGAATAGCAGGCCAGAAACGTGTTCCAGCCGACCTCACAACTTTTCTCTTCGAGGCCAATTGCTGCTGCCACCACCGCGTGAGGGCAGGGGCCGGCCTCCGCCGCGGCTACGGTCACTGTTGCCGATCGGCGGCGTCAGCTGCAGCTGCCGCTGGGAGGCAGCACTCACAAGCGACGAGCTGGCCGACCAGCTTTGGGCCGTTCGGCAAGCTGAAGATGCCGCCAGGGTGCAAGGATTTCGAGCGGTAATCTGAGATACCGCCATCATAATCTACGGAGAGTGGCAAGGGACAGGGGCTAATTCCCTCTTCTCCCACCTCACCTGGTAAAACTTCCGGACTTTAAGGTTTATTCATTCATTCTCTGTCTATGCATAGGCCTTTCTTTCTTAAAGAGACACCGCCTGTCCACCCATAGAACAAATATTTTAGAAACAACAGAAAAAGCCGAAGAAGACCTTCTTTTGAAACTGCTTTTCTAATGCATATTTGTGTAGTACAAGACGCCATATGAGTTCTTTGTAAGAAATTTGTCATTTATGGGTAGAAGCTTAAGTTCATCCCGTAGAAATAAGGACAAAGGCTTTTGCAAAGATTCGTGCTCGGAAACTATGATACACAGGCTGGGGTGCGTGGATTTTATACATTTTTGTGCTAAAAAGCATGACCGAATTAATGTTGTTTTCGATACATTTTTGTAGCCTGTGAAAGTTTAGTCACGTACATACCTTTCTTTTCTCATTTTTCAGTTTTTGCAAGTGAATACTCCCGTACCTATTACAAACAGTGCAGAAATTACTTGTCCTGCTTTGTATCTAAATGTAATATATTGCAAAAGAAGCAAAAAAACCAAAAGAATAACTGCACTCACGTTGTGCGGGTGAAGATGGGATGATGGGGAAAATTGGTGTCGGTTGCCTTCCTGTGAAAACGGCATTTTGTGCAGCTGTAAACGGAAATATATAATTAGGTCGAGTCTCAAACACGCAGGCCTTTGATGTCCCAAACGGCCCGCGAGCCACTCTTGACTTTCTTCTGCGAACATTTTTTATATTAATAACTATGCCTATGAACGAGCCATGCATGACTGCTCTTAACCATTTTTTTGCGAGGAACCCACTGTAGTAAGCAAGTGATGATAGAGAAATGGGAAAATTAAGTCATATTTCAGTAACCTTGGAGATGCATTGACTATTTCATATGCTGGCGCCAAATCTTCGGAAATGTTCTATATATGATATATATGAAAGGTCTCTGATATGGCAATGTTAGCTAAAGCTCTTTACAAACTACTCCTCCCCACCCCTATTCGCTTTAGCTTTTTTCACTATCGTGGCACGAGTAAATTTTCTGGTTTTTGACCCAATAGTTGAGGGGAGTTATAGACCCCAGAATTAGGCAGTTTCAGAACTTGCACCTTCGAACGACCAGAACGTTCTTTGCGCACGCATGCTTCATAAATTTTGTAGCATTCCTTGGCAATGCGATTCAGATTGCCTTCCACTTTCAGAGGTGTGTCGTTTGCATACGACGCTTCAAGTTAGGCTAATATTTTAAATTTGATGGTTTCTATGATCAAAAAACAATACTGAGAATGGTGTCAACGCTATACGCATGCTTCTACCGTGGAGCAAGTTGCAAGCCAACCAACCTACTCAAATAAATTCGCGGTGCCACTTGAATGACAAGCAATGGCACCGTCAGATACCTAAAATACTGTTTACACCGAGACTAGATGAAATAATTATTGCACTAAGCCTAACTTAACTGTCTGTAAACACTAATAAACTATGCGTAATACACGCCCATACTTGGAAGAATACATTATCTGATTTATTTTATGTCATGTGTTTACGTGTAGCTACTTTAGTTTTCTATACTCGTTCTGATAAAATGGCGAGCTTCACCACCAGACAAAATTGCAATCGTTGTCTGTTTTTACGCTAAAAAACAGCGGGAATATCAACAAAAATGTAAGAGTTTACATTCTTCGTATGTTTTTTACTACCTTGCTTATTCACACACTGCCATAAAGACGAGAGTGAGCCCAAATGGACAGAACTGCATTGCAATACCATCTGACGCCTCTACGTGGATATATATTCTGTGTGCTAAAAAGGCAATATATAAACACAGGGCACACGAGTAGACACCTATGAGCCATGCAGAGATGATCGTGCCTTGTGAATAAATACTTCACTTTTCAATGCAGTTGTTTACTGTGCTAATCGCAATGACTGTGACCACGTTGCACATGACGCACCTAGCGAAGAGTGACAGACTTTCGTTTTCAGATCTCACAGTTCTTGTATACGTACTGCCAGGTTGGAAAGCGAGCCTTGGCGTGGGTGGAAGCTCCTGCAGATTTGTAGGCTTCAAAGATGGCGCAGGTCTGGGTGGCGCTGTCGGACTCCGCGTTACAGGTCTCTGCGTCGTAGGCCTTTGTGTTGTGGGCCTCGGCGTCGTCGGAAACGGCACCGAGGGTCTCGGAGTCATCAGCCTTGGCGTCGTTAACCTCAGTGTTCCGGGCCTCGACGTCGTTGCTTTCTGTGTCGTTGATCTCTGAGTCGTTGGCCTTTGTGATGTGGGCCTCTGTGTAGTGAGCCTTTGTGTTGTAGGCCTCGGCGTCGTTATGCTTTCAGTCGTCGGCCTCTGAGTAGTGGGCGTTTGCTGTCGTAGGCCTTTGAGTTTCAAACCCCTCAGTCACAGGCCTCTGAGTCGTTGGTCGCTGCGTCACCGGTCCGAAAGTCGGCGGCCTCTGCGTTGTCTGCTGAGATGTCGTCTGTGCGAACGTCGGAGGCCGGAATGGCGGCGGTCGCGGTGGTGGTGGTGGCGGTGGTGGCACGAGTCCTGGAGCTGATTGGAGCAAGAATAAATACTATATCGAATCAAATAAGTTTATCCTAGTAAAAGTTATGTTTTGAATGTAACTAGAGAGAAGAAAACCAAGTGCAGCTGTTGCCAGCATGTATCCCTTGCCTAGATGTGAAAGAGATGTATTCTCTATCTCCTCATATGAGCCTCTTAAGCTCACGCCGGGAGGGGCTTGTGGGTTTGCTTTGTAGAGGCGCACAAATGATATCGATTGACCAAAATGGGTAAACTTCGACTTTACACCGTACGCAAAGGCGGCGAATGGTGGTTTCTTGTACAATTGCTGCTACCGTTCAATATGGTTTCTGCATATTTCTTTGCTTCATAATCGGCCTCAGTATACCAACTGCCGAGCAAACGGTTCTCTCATGTTCCATCAATCAACCCGGTCGTGTGCTTGCTGCGTCACCTTATCCCACAAACTTCTGGTGCTCCTCTGCCCACCTAACTTTCTGTCTGGCCCTTGTGCATACGCCTTCTCTTCAGAATTTCGGTTCGTTACTGACAAACACATATTTCGAATCCATGCTACTTGCCATGCCAATGCCAGTTTCGTCTTCTTAATTTCGACTGAGATGTACTCAACACCTGTTTGTTCCCTGACCCACGCTGCTTTCTTCGTGTCCCTTAAGATTACACTTATCATTTTTCTTTCAATCGCTCGCTGCATCGTCCTCAATTTAATGCCGGTGTCACACAGGGCCCTTTTAGTCACTATCAGGGTGATCTGGATCAGTTTTCTTGATCGCGATGAACAATATGCCCGCTGCTACGCGGTCTAAGCTGATCCGGTTCGATCTTGGGTCACATGAAATACACTAGGTGAAACGTGCGTGACGCAAACATGCCATTGACAAAACTCAGCGCACGTTATTTCACTAGGGCCATTTATCAGCAATATGTAAATTGTGTAAGAACAGCTGGAACGTCAAAAAGATTGTTGTGCACTACAAAAGTAATGTCATAAACCCATCATTCAATAGAGGTTTCTCTGCACTTACCTGTATTGCTCTACGAGAATCTTAACCTCAACTTTTATTTATGATGGCACCTGCTCGTAGCCATCCAGTTGCAGCGAAACGGCAATCTCGTCATACACGCTAGACTTTCACTTCTGGCACCTCAAAGATCCCAGTTGCTTCTGCCAGCGGTCAATTAGTGTAAAGATCTCTTAATTTGACCACGAAGTGTGCATACGCTTGACGTATTTGAAATAGTGGCGACATTCAATCAATTTGCATCGAGGTGCTCCAACTGCTCCAACGGCGTGAGAGAGTTGAACTTGTCTGCTTATCATCTACTTCTCCTATAACTACATGCGCTGTTTACGGATTTTGTACCGGTGTCACACCGACATTTTGAGTCGCGATCAGTGCCGATCCGGATTAGCCACGATCTGAATTAGGTACTGCTACATCCTATCGGGATGAAGACGATCGCAGTCCATGCATTGCGGTCTGGCTGAGAGATCGCGATTATGCTTCGTCTGCACCCTTGGCCAAGCTTGTTTATAAAGCAAAAGAACCAGGGAATAAAGCTTTGTTCTGTAAAAACAGATTTAAAAAGCTACATATATATTTTAAAGAAAATTAGACTCTTATAATTGGGAAAATATCTGCAACATTGCATATCTAAGGATTCGTATTCACCGAATGTAAATTAGAGAGAAGCAGACGATAATCAGATGACAAGTTACACTGTCGCACCGTCAAAGCAGTTGGAGCACCTCGAAGCAAGGTGATTATGAGTGTTGCCAGCATTTCGACTACATCGCAGCGAACGGACACCTTGCGTTGAAATTAAGAGATCTTTACAGTAATTTACCGCCGGTAGGAGCAACTGGCAGTCTTGAGGCGCCAGAAGTGAAAATCTGGCGTGTCTGACGAGATTGCCGTTTCGCTGCAACTGGACGGCCACGAGCAGGTCCCATCAGAAATAAAAGTAAAGGTTAAGATTTTCGCACAGAAATACAGGTAAGTAGCAGAGAAACCTCTATTGAATGATGGATTTATGACATTACTTCTGTAGTGGTACGCAAAGTTTTCAACGTTCGAGCAGTTCTTGCACGAGTAGCCAAATCATCCAGCGTTTTTTCTACCATTACGTAATGGCTGAAAAGATTTCCACATGTTTCTTAAAGTGTAACACTCGTCCTGGTAATGTATTTCTGTTACTTAAAATTTTCCTCTTTGTTTATGAGAGTCTGTAGTTTGGTGCTGACTGAGCTAAAAGGTGTCAAAGAACATTTTTTTTCACAAGACATTTTTGAAATGCACTCGTTAAAACGGTCTTTGCCGCAAACTAACCGAAGTGATATACCTCTGAAATGAATGACTTACTCTTTTTCGAGGACTGTTCCCACGAGCAATAATCAATAAAGATGTCAAACTTGAAATTTTTTCGTGGAAGATGGCAAGCTCCAAGGACACAAATAAAATATGTGCTGGTGGCTTGTTTGACATGCAACAAATTCAATTTAACTTAGGTACTGAACTGATGGTATAAGTAGTCTGAAAAGCTTTGAATTTAAATTTTTTGGGGGAAAGCTCTGTATTCAGCATCAAAAAACTTGCCTTGGTGGTCAGACTAAAAATATGGAAGATATTTCATTTGAAAGCTCTATGTATTAGCTAAAAGTGGGCGAAGTTCATTGTGGTTAATATTTTTCAAACTTGAGAAATATTTTTTCTCAAAACTATAAATCTCCGCCAGCTTTTCACCTACTGAAGTGGCATGACGCACTTGCAAGGGCAGCCTTCAGCAGAATGCCACTAAACTGGAATAACGTCAACAATCTTGGTGATCTCTACAGAGCAAATAATAGGAATGGGGTTATCTACGTTATGCGATCTTCAATAATGCGAGTTATCTACGTTATTCTATCTATATTATGTGATCTTGAGATGTCAGAAAATATAGATGTACGCTTTGTTAGCAGCAACAACATGCTTTGTAGCTGTGTTACTACGTTCTAAATCTCTGGGGAAGCCTGGCTTGCATGACGTCTCACTATTTCAAGTATTCTTTCTTACGAGAAATTAAATCTGTGAATTTTAACAGTCTATAACGCTTTTGCTATAAAATATGCTACGCAAACACTGCAACAGCTTCAACATTCGGAACTAATGTTTGTTAGTGGGTCGCTTCTGACCAGACTGACTATCCCCAATATGAACAAAACGAGCAAAAGTGCCAACTGCATTATAAGCCTCCAAGTTCAGCTATAATTTTCTATCTTATTTGAAACAAATGTGCGCAGCATGCGCTCCATAAAAAGCTCAATTTTCATTTTCTATAGTAACATGAGCTTTCATGCAAGCTTCGACATCTTAGTGAGATACGGATTAATCAATATATTAAACGGCAGAGTACATTTACAGATCACAAGCTTCTGTTATACTGCGAAGACAGTTGTCTGTGTCGATTCGCTTTAGAATTATGTATCTTGTGCAGCCGTTTTTAAGAACTCAAACCTTCTCTAATATGCCGGTTAGGAACGCGTATTTAATGAATGAAAAAATTAATAACTAACTGATAGGATTTTATTGCATATGTGTCGTTCACTTTCCAAAAACCACCATATGATTATGAGAGATGCCGTAGTGGAGGGTTCCGGAAATTTCGACCAACGGGGTTCTTTAACGTGCACCTAAACCTGAATTATTAACTAACTAAATAACTAACCGAGTGACTAACAACCCAATTTCCTCAAACAGCCTGGACTACGCTATACCTTCAATTTTGTAATATCTTCAAATTTACCACGAGGTCTTCTTGTCAAGCCAACAAGTTTTCATATAAAAGCACATATATGCCATGAAACCTGTCGTACACAGAATTTACTGGGAAGCGATACCTTTCCCATCAGCGAGTTCCTCATTGATCAGTCCTGAATAACGAGTGATGTAAAAACTGACCAACATCACTTTAGTGATAAAAAAGAGACGTATTTAGCAGTCGTCATGCTACTCTTTCTCTTCCTGTTTTTTTTTTTTTGGTGTAACAAGTCGATGACATTTGCTTCAATAAGTGATTGACAGCATTCCAAGAATTTTGCAAATAGCAATAAGAAAATATTGGTTCAAACCTGATAAAGCCAAATTGAATCATTTCAGGATTTCACAAATAGAAAAATATATCAAAACAGAACGATTGCTTACTTGTGGGTACAAACAACCGAGGGGCTGGTGTCGTGAGAGCTGAAAAAGAGGTATGAGGAACCATATTGTATCACGTTGCCGTCAAAATGGGTTATAGCAGAGGTGCTTATACGTTAAATGTAGTTGGACGCATGGCTTAATTTTAAAAAGTCAAACAAGTTAATTAGGTGGAAACTTTAATGCAGTCAATGATCATTGCTAATGTAAACTGCATAGGAGTGACCCGCTAACACACTGTCAACACTGGGAAAATGCGGAAAGTGTGTGAAAGTGCCAGATAGGACAGAAGCAACTTTCGGGAAGTGCATCAATCTTTTGGTAAACGCGCAAAGTGTTCATGCTCGCGTGATTCTATGTAGGTCATCCTTGAAGGCACAAATGTTCTTGCATGCGTTAAACCGTACACGTACAACAGGGTGTCTCAGAGCTCAAATCGACTTCATAAAATGCTGCAGTACTCGTGAACCTAGCTCTGCGCAGGTAAAGGGTGAGGCCAATATCACTTATGTAAAAAAAAAAAATCCTCAAAAGCTCCTGAACAGTGAATCGATGAATGAAAGAATTTCGCTAAGCTCCAGTAGGTCGCACTTGTTTCCTTGTTAGTGTAAGCCTGACCGAGAACATCAAAAATTCTGGTCGGATTTTGGCAAAGACAACGTTGGGTGACACTCTATTCGCGATGAATTTTGCAATATGGGCTCACACAACAACATCGATGTGGCTATGCTACGCTCTGCGCATAAACCAAACACTTTTCAGTGCCTATGCATAATGACTCTCGCAGCACAGCCGATGGCAGCCTTTTCCGGCACAATTGCTTGCGCTAAGCTGATAACTATAGTTGGTGAAGACTGTTCAAGAAGGGCTATAGACCACCTTGAGTTTTTTTTATATACAAATAGCGAACCTTGAAAACTGTAACTGTGGCTTTAAAAATATTCCACAAGAACGAACATCTCTACGATTTCAATTTTTATACATTGGGCCATTTGCCAGAACATTGCCACAGTAGACTCGAAGCCCAAAAAGAGAATGACAGGCTGGGAAATATGTTGTTTTCGTCGTTATCCAATGAGAGAGTTATCCTCAAGACGTAGGTAGAAGGCAGCAGATGCTGGTTTCCCGTGGTGTGCGCTCCTTTTGGGAGCTCTCGTTCTGCGTTAATGAACGGCGCTCTTCTCTGTAGGCGGTGTACTCTATCGTTAAGACGTGGTGAGTCCGTGGTGCAACATCTTTAATGGCTTCATTGTTGGCCGTTAATTTGTGCTCCCGGAGGTGCTGTTTGTTTCTCAAGCAAGCGCTGGCAGTTTCCTCCGCTATACACTGATGGGTTTTCCTGTGCCGGAGTAAGAGTACTTTCCCGTACACATTAAAATATTTTTGCTCCGTTGTGACTTTCTGGCTTAAATTACTATACGTGAAATCTGGAGATTTGCCAGCAGTATAGTTTCCTATATTCTACATTTAGAGTGGTGCTTCACCACCGCAAAATTTTATAAAAACGTCGGCTTATTAAGCTGGCACAGGAAAACATTGCAATCTGGTTCACAGACATACTACAGGGAAGCGCATATGTTAAAATAACTTAGTGTAAAAGTGCACTACGACAAGACAACCAGACTTAAATGTGCAGCACTATACAGGGAAAAACACTGTAGACTTTCAGTCTGGTTGCTTTGTTGTCGTTCTGTTACTCTACAATGAACTGGTTATTCAAACTCACTCAAGTTGTTGCCTGAATTCTATCTTGCTATTGAAGATATTTTGAATGTATAAATAGGCATTTTCAACCTTTTGTCACACAGCACCAATGAAGAAAGCTGAACTTGATAGGACTGATGCTCAGGCTAGTTGGTTATTTGGAATCAATATATTCGCATGGCGCATGAAAACGAGTATTTACAGCGTAACTAGAAAAGAAAAAAAAAACAGGGACAAGAAAAAGTAGCTCATTCCTGTTTTTTTCGTTTTTTACTTCAGTTGTTACACTGTAATCGCTCATTTTCTTGCGCCGTACAAGTATGTTGGAAGGGGAACCTTGTGATTTTAGATAGCGGTTGCAAACAACCAAACATAGTTTTTCACGTACCACTACTTGGTTGTTGTTGTGTAGGCGTTCTTTAGATTTCACTTTCCAGCAGTAAAATTAAAGAGCTGTAGGAATACAGTGCCACAGCGTTCTGAGATGCTTATCGATATTAGATGCGAAGCAGCTTTTTGGCTAGCTCGTGCAATGTCCCTCCGTAACGGGGCAGTGCCAAGTAGGTCACGCTTTCTCTCGCAGAGCGCGTGCGTGACGTCACTCTCTCTCTAGCCTGTTACCGCGTGTCAAACCCCTCGCTTCACCCTCTCCACCGCTCGCAACGCTCGAGCCACTCTTCACGTCGGCATCATCCCCTCACCGTGCCACCTCTCTCCCTCTGTCAGCGGGAAAAAGCCATGGGTAGGCGCGCTGCGCACGCTCGTGCATCATCGTCTATCCCGGCCGTGGTCTCGCAGCACCTGCAATGTGGACAGCGCACCGCTGCTTGCCACGCGATCAGGCCTACGGGCGGGACGCCGCCGGAGCATGCTTCCCGCTAGTGTGCGCGTACCTTTTCCGGCCGTCGCCGGCTTTGCTGGTTAGCGAAGCTGATCGCGTTCGCGAATGATGACTTCGCACCTGGAACAACGACGAGGTGCGAGCTAGGGAAGCCAAACGCAAGCATCTGCAGTAAAAGACCCACGACACTGACGAGGGGCGAGTCCAGAACGCCGATCATGTTCGAGAAGAGAGATGACGTGTGTACTGACGTTAACCTGAGTTTCCCTTCAAACCGTTTTTCCAGCACCCGCGTCGATGCTCGTTTCAACCGCGTCAACGCCGTGCACACCGCGGTCGCCTCCCATCCCATCAGGGTTCCCTTCGGGGAGATCGTCCATAGTTGTTTTGTTATAACTGTTGTACGGGGTATTGTAAACGTGTGCGAATATTCGGCTTTTCCCTTTGCTGTCATGGCAGTAAACGCTTTCTTATCAACTGTAGATGATTTGAAATAAACTGACTTTTCGCAGATCCTTCTCGGCCGCTCTACTTTTATGCCGTCCTAAGTGCTGTTTTAGTTCATTTCATAATGCCCGACCAGGGTAGTCAAGAGAACCTCTCTTAATTGTAATATGCCTGAATTGTTAGTTCACATTCACCCAATATAATTATCAATATCATTGCTCGGACATAGTAATAAGTGCGTTAAAATTAATGTAGCGTGCATGACTTCCTTATATCCATCGGTAATCCTGATTTCGAGGCACTGCTTCATTGTGTGCCATTGAAGTTGAAGTTTAGGGAACATCGCAGTGTATGACGAGCAACGTTCGTCTGTCTGGAATATATATATATATATATATATATATATATATATATATATATATATATATATATATATATATATATATATAATATATATATATATATATATATATATATATATATATATTTATATATATAATCAAACGCAGCGGGAAAGCTAAGGTAATGTGGCACTCTCTTTTACGAAGCAGTTCTATGTGCTTACGCAACATAAATGCGCTGAACAAGCACTGGAATGATACTATCTATGATCACTGGTAGTGCGCTCACCCGCACCTCGATAAAAAAACTGACACTCGCAACATGTAATGCTCACGTTGTAAAAAAGGCTGAGGAAAGAAAGAGTGCACTATGCACACGCAGTGTCATATCATTTGTCATATGGAAACAAGTTCATTGTTATCGTGATAACTTTTGATGCGTGGTGCACCGCTGAAGCAACCGCAGATCCGCAATCGCATTCATATAAGTCACATGAAAAAATTAGGAGCTATGGCACTGGCAGGAAGAGTTAGGATTGAATGGACACTAAAGTGAATGAGCAAGAAATATGCGTCTAGTGCTTATAACTAGTAAAGTATTATCAATTCGTTATATATATATATATATATATATAATATATATATATATATATTATATATATATAATATATATATATATATATATATATAAAATAAGGGAGAGAAGTGTATACCTAAGGGCTCGTATTTCCGTGTTTTAACACAATATAATGAGATATAACAGACAGAAATGCCAAGGAATGTACAGGGGAAGTTATTAGAACCAATGGAATGTAAATAAGAAGAAAGAAGAAAGAAAAGTGGATGAAAAAATTACCAGCTGTGAGCAGCTCCTTATTTTTTTATGTGACTTATATGAATGCGATTGCGGATCTGCGGTTGCTATATATATATATATATATATTATATATATATATGTTCAATCAATATATATATGTTCAATCAAATTTAAGGACACACGTGAACATAAGCCTAAGCAGAGATATATAACACTCACCACTGTCCGTGAAGAATGTCGGTCTTGTGACTGAAACAAAAAGGATTTCTTAAATATCTTTTCACAGCATAAGTTCGCAAAAACATTTTGGACGTTATGTGTGGATAACATTGATTTATGAACATTGATTTACTGCGCGCTTTCATGAGTTATGGTGTTGTATAATCAGTGACCAATGCATACGTGCCTTTTGGCTTGGAAAAGGTTCATTGGGATCAAGTTCAACCATAAAAATAATAAATTTAATAATAAAACAACAATATTAGTAAGAAGTTATGCCAGAAGGCAGCCAGCAGCATGAATATTTTAGAATGTTTTGTCGGGAAAGGTAGCACCTGAATTCTTTAGGGCAAAGATTATTCTGTTGTGAAAAGCTGGAGGCACCTCAGACGTATACAAATGAACATGTATTCTCTATGAGTAATAACTCACCAAAATTTGAGGGCGTTCGTGGACCAGACGCTGGAATCATAACTAGACAAAAAAACAAGAACTGTTTTAAGCGATGACAATAATACAGCTTATGTAAAAAAAGTTGATAGCCGCTTACCAAAACGGTTGTCTGGCTTCGCTGAATCTGCAACGCAAAAGAAATTTCAAATAAGCCTTGCAGACTCATTATGAAGCGCCAGTTTGCATGTGAGAAGCGTTTTTTGAATGAATGCGCTTTCACAGTTGCGTAATAGTATCTTAATTGTATCAGGTTCGTGGTTGTGTAAGGTGTATAACAGGCCACCAAAATGTGCTACCGTTTAAGGTGGCCTCCATTAGTGGTCGTATATTTAGCTCGGGTGTTTAGGAATAAACAAAACCACGTAAATAAATCAGGCACTCTAATATCTAAACTTGATAGTTGTGTATAGGGTTCATAATGAAGGAAATAATTTTTTCAAGAGCGTGTAAATGGTATCACATTTTTGTTGCGACACAAAAACACATATGATTGTAGTTGCGCCCTCGTATAAATTGAGCTGCGAGATTTTTTTTGCTATGACCTAATGAAGTTGAAGTGAAATCATGATTATGCTTAAACTCTAGTTCAGTTTTAGTGTCTTTGATGTAAACCAAACTATAGACCCATTTATCTGCAGTCGACTTGTATTGAATAATTTCTATTGATAAAGTTTTAGTGCCTGTTAATGCTTAAGTACTTGCTTCAGTTGACCTCAATCTTTAGTAGTACGACTACTTACCCTGTGGTGGACGCTCCTCATAAGAAATGATGGGCTTAAAGCTTCGTGTATATCAACCAAGATGAAAGTTCATATGCTGCAGCAAGTGCAACCAGATTAACAACTTAAGCTACAATTTTATGCCAAACTTCGACAGGAAAATTTCTTCTCAGAGTTTATCTCTTTCGCTTTCCTTGAAAAGGAGTATGAGCGATGGCCTTTTTTTTAACTTATTGACAGAATAGAGGCGTTACGCTGATCAGTTTTCAAACATTCACTAGTGTCGCTGCTTTTCTAAATATACCCTAACTTCCCCAGGCTTTCCTTTCCCTAAAATGTTTATGGAAACAAGAACGGGTGAATAGGATGGCTGTTCAGGTATATTAGAAAACACTGAATTGAAGACGATTGCTTTTTCGGCAAGTTGATACATACCTAAACTCGAGAAAAAAAAGCCACTAAAGCGTGGAAAAAAAGAAATTGAGAGGCAGAAGCACCGACCAATATAGGTCGATTATTCGCTCGCCCTCACTCACCACAACTTTTTCAGCCTTCGTTTCAGCCTTAGCACTCACTCACGTTAACGCTTGTGACCACTCACACTTATAAATACTCAAGTTTATACTGACGCCTACTCACCCTCATGAGTGCTCACTCTCGTTCACACTCACGTCCGCTCACACCTATAAGTACTCACTCACGTTCACACTCACAATCACTCACATTCATGAATCCTCGCTTCATACTCACGCTTACTCACCCTGATGAGTGCTCACTCAGGTTCACACTGACGTCCACGTGCTCATGAGTACTCACTCATGTTTACACTCACTACTCGCACTAATGAATACTCTTGTTCATACGGCTACTCACCCTCATGAGTGCTTAGTCACGTTTACACTCACGTTCACGTACGTTCATGAGTACTCACTCACGCTCACACTCACGACCACTCATAAATAGTCACAGTTATACTCACGTTAACTAACCCTTATGTGGGCTCACTCACGCTCACGTGTACAGTGACGCCTACTGACCCTCATGATGGCTCACTCACATTCACTCTCACGACGACTCATACTCATGAATACTCGCGTTCATTTTCACGCCAACTCACCCTCACGACTGCAATCACGTCCACGCACACTCATCAGTATTCACTGAAGTTCACACTCATGGCCACTCACACTCATGAATACTCACGTTGATACTCACGCCTACTCAACCTCATAAATGCTCACTCACATTCAAACTCACGCCCGCGCACATCATTGTGTACTCACTCACGTTCGCACTCATGACCACTCACACTCACGAACATTCACGATCATAATAACGCAAAATGAGCCTCATGAGTTCTCACTGACGTTCACACTCACGTCGACGCACTTATGAGTACTCAGTCACATTCACATTCACGACCAGTCCCACTTATAAACACTCACATTCATACTCATGCCTACTCACCCTCATGAGGGCTCAGTCACGTTCCCGCTCTCGTCTACTCTCATCACCCACGTTCGTACTCACGACCACTCACACTCATGAATACTCAGGTTAGTACTCACGGCTACTTTCCCTCATGAGTGCTCTCTCTCACTCATTCTCACTCTAGTTCACTCTCACACACGAGTCCTCACTCACGCTCGCACTCACGACCACTAACACTTCTGAGTACTCACTCATAGTCACAATCACCACGTACAATTAGTGTGAGTGTGTGTGAGTCAGTGCACTCATGAGACAGTGCACCGCGCTATACAGACAGGGCATGAATAAAATTGGCACAGTGATCTAGTAAAGTGCTTTTGCGCATGCTCTGAGCAGACTTTAGAAAATAAATTTTTAGGAAACAATGTCACTTGCCAGTAGCTACCTCACTGTCACGGCCTTTGCTGTGGCCTCCCAATTTTTCATTTTTTAACGTTTTAGTGGCCTTTTTATAGTTAAAGAACATCGTGTTGAGGTTGCTAACCTGAGCTATGTTTTTCGGCGCCATTTCTCGTGAACATTCATAACTTCGTCTACAGTTCGAAGAAATCGTGTGTCACAAAGTGGGGCTGGAAGCAAATGAAAACAAATATCTCTATTGCAGCCAACTGTCGCTGCGATCACGATGTGAAACAGCCTTGTAAGAAGCGTGTATTACGCAACAGGTAATTTTGCCTTCCACTAATTCCGGTTACGTGACCTGGGGAAGACGTTCGAAATGATGTACTGGTTACGATTACGTCGTTAATTATATACTTCCTCTTGGAGAAAGGCCACAAGTTGGAGCGCAAGTGGGTTTGTGACCCAAGTCACCCCAAGGGACGAAAAAAAACAACAACCTTAGTGTACGTCATTGCTGCTGGATTAGGATCAGGACCGAGAACCGAAACGAAAGGAGGTGAACTCGGAGGTAATCATCCCCTCCGAATAATGAACAATATGCTGTATTGTAAACTATTCAGCTCAAACATGTTAGGCTTTCGCCTAACAAAATATTCTTAGTTGAGCGCAGTTTGTTGAACAGCGAGAAAATATATTTGACCTTTCTGTACTTGATAGTTATGTATTCTTTCATTTATGCCCTGTACTCCAGTGTATTACTAGTTATTGCTTGAATGTATTGTTTGTATCCCACTCTTGCATGGGCCCGGGTAGGGCCTGCAGTATCTGTAAATAAATAAATAAATAAATAAATAAATAAAAATATCTAGGCGTAATCACGGAAGACGCTTCAAGATTCGCCTAATATTTCGCGTGGCTTAGCCATCAGCATGTTGACTTATTCGCATGTTCCTCTCTCTTCAGCGATATTTGTGTAGAATTTAACTGGCTCTATTGCAAAGGGTTCTTCGCGTTTAGTTTTTATTGCAATAACAATTTCTTGCATAGTCTCGGCTGCATTTTTCTGCTGACGTCGGTGTCAACGGCGACGTTGGTGACCCCCGTCATTTACCACACATTTATACGTATCTATGTATACGAAAATGCAAGAAAAAAAAAACAAAAATCTCCATTACATGGAATCGAACGTCTGAATTCTTGCGTGTGAGTGCGTGGCGTTCACCACTGAGCCTCGAAGGAGCACCTCCTTCAACGTTGAAACGGCAAGCAATTTATATCTACAGTTACCACTGGTGATCTCGGCAGCGCTATCGTGTTTTCAGCATTACCAGCAAAATGGCGCAATGGGCGTGCGTCGCCTACAGTAACTAGCTGTATATGAATACGGGACCATAGTAGTGCAGCTGTTTTCCAACGCCGCCACCACCGCTAGCAACCATGCATTGCGAAGAAGCTGACGCTAAGACTAATTTTGTGTTTTTTGACGCCACCGCTGCCTTCCACAAATCATCGCCAGTCAAGTTCAAAGCAAACTTAACTGGTCTTCACGCATTTTCTGAACGCGGCTCATGTATGCGCCCGAGTGTCTGCTGATTAGCTCTATGTGCGCACCACCGCCAGCGGTGTCTGTGACCACTATCGCACAAATAAAAAAGAAAACTTACACAAATAAGCACACTTGTCTTACTCGAGAGTCAAACCCGTGTCTTTTGCGTGACAGTACAGTACTCTACCTCAAAGCTACGCCAAAACACGAAGCTGCGCTCTAATCTGGCTTTATGTAGGCTACATATCGGGTACGTATTTGCATTACCATGTGTACACAAAGCGCTTTAGAACAGTGAAGTAGCAACCATGCGTCACAGAACGTGAATCGTGCAAAGAGTGCTTCGTTATGCTCTCACGCACTTTGAAAGCCTCATTGCGTTATACTCACCGATACTAACCTGGTGATTTCATGTACTTTCAAGGTCAATTAATGTCGCATTTCACCAGAATAGTGTCAATGCTGAATGTTAACCCTCATTATCTGGTCAAAAAATTCCGAAAATGCGCGAAATGTGAATGTCGCAAGAAAAAAGAAGTTGTTAATGTTTGCTCTGCCCTATTTCGCCACACGCTGAGCAAGAACGTCGCTTTTTTGTACCACGTTATTTAGTCAGCTTCTACGTTTCACTCTCTTGGCAATCGGGCCGAAAAGCGGCTTCAAGCACTGCAAACAGTACGTGGCAAGAAAATTATGTCGATATGCAACACGGCAGGCGTGTCGCTTGCCAAAACAGAGTGTCTGCCATCTTGCGCATAGATCTGCAAGATGGCAGACCTATGCGCTACTCTGGTCTCGAAAGGACTATATACAGTTACTATTGCGTCGCCAGATTATCACCATAGAGTTTCCGAAAAGTAACTAGAGGCGACTCTGGCGCTGCGATTGTTCAACGATGATGGCAATTATATGTAGGACACGGATTAGCCTAGTCTTCGTACTTATGGGCGGCGAATCACACTTGTGGCTTCATTTATTGCTGTGTTTCGGTTTTGTTTGGAAGGAATGTACAAAAACTTTGGAACATTGTGACCCAATTTGAAATGGTAAGCCTAAAACAATAGGGTGGTGAAGCATAACGGTTGAATATTCGCTGATTTTTGTTTTGTGACAGAACAGCCCAAAGCCACACGAACACACACGTAGCCGGAAGTACGAAGATTAGACAAATCCGTCAACTACCCTTGGTTCCCATGCTCACTAAAGCACCATGCGTAGCAGCTACCATTAACCCTAGCGCCAGAGTGCTCTCTAGTGGACGTATAGAAAACTCTATGATCCTCACGACGCGCCGACGCGCACTCAGGCGTTCATCTCCCAAGCGTACATTGCCCCGCCGAAAGGGGGAGAAAGAGTAGACGCCTATGCTTGCGTGCGCCTTTCTCGCGGTGGGGAAAATCATACGCCTTTGGGCCTTAACCGTAACAATTCTGTCATGGTTACCAAGTGCACAAATGTCACTGCACTAGCTGCACAGTCTCCGTTTGCGAAAAGGGTGCGCTTTTCACACACAACGAAGTAACAACTGAGACACTTATTCGCGTTCATCTGTACCTGCTTGTACGTTTCGTGAGTCATTTGCGCATGAGCAACGCAGGGCTCGTTTCGATCTGCTTGCCATTCTTCGCGTCAAATTGCAATTACTTGCGATCACGTTCATTGCTTTGCCTTTGAAGCAAAGCTGTGACTCTTTCTTTATTGTGGTTTTTCTTTCGGAAGATGTTTCAACATCGTGCATGGCATACAGCTAGTCAAAATTTAAATGAGTTTTCGCGCACTAAAATACCAGACACAGAGTTTCTTTAACTTTTGTGTAATCTTTTCAGATACTCGAGAAAGAGACAGTTTAGTCATTCAAACAAAGAAGCTGGTCACTGCAGCCTTGTAACACAGTAGGGAGTGTTAGAATATTCAATGCCTAAAATCACCCTATTGGAAACACTATTTTGATCATTAGTAAAAACTACGGCAAAACACAACGACGTGAGCGCTGGAGGAGTGACTTACTGAACCGGAAGTCGAATGGTGTGGATCCAGCTGCAACAAAAAGAGAAGAAAAAATGGCGTTCATAAATTGACACGTAAGACTGCATAGTGAAACCCTTCAAAATGGCTACTTATGCATAATTTATTACATAGTCATTTTGATAGACTTGCTTTTTGCTTCTTTTTTGTCTCGAATATTTTTAGTATCACAACAGCATAGTTTTTCGCACGGCTTTGATGCGCCTATATGTAAACAGAGACATTCCTTAAGTCAGCACTAAAGTTAAGTTTTGTGGGATCTTTCGCTCTGTTCAATACGTCGTTGTAGTAGATTTGTATTTATTTACAAATACAGTTGAAAAGAAATTGCAACGCAAATGCTTCATCATGGTCATATCAGGTTTGTCTCACAAGCTATAGTCGCCATAAATAGGAGCATGCATAGTTAGTACTTAAGTGGGCAGCTCGGCGTAAGAAATTATGGAAGAATAAATAGTTGGCTTTGCGCTGCACCAGCACTGAAGCAAGACTTAGTTGAACTTTAGGAAACGTGCGTTGTTGGCTTACTTATAGGTTCTAAGAAACAAAACACACAATGTTTTTTTCAGTGACCTTCGTCGAATTAACCAAATGGTAATAATTGGTGTTAATTGAGCATCCTTTTAACTGAGAGTAGTTCTTCTTAAAAGCGATTCAGCGGAACTGATACATAAGGGTGCAACGGAGTCGTCTTAGGAGTTCCGCGATGCCATTCCTACAAAAAGATGTTTGTCAACACTTTCCTCCAAGGAAAGTGTTGACCCGTTCACAGTTGCTTGTCCTGCTCCAGGAACTGTAGTAACATTGTGAACAAGATCTGCTTTGCTCCCCCAAAGCCTCGAATAAAGACCTAGCCTGCTACATCAGCTGCAAAATCGCCAAGTCTCCTTTACCAGTTCTTTCTTTTGATACGGTAGGGAGTGCGTCTAGCGCCCTGGTGTGTCATCCCAACGGGACCGCCATTACATCGACGTCACAAGTGACCCCAACACATGAACGGCTGAGAAACAGTGACTTGGAGATTCAGTAAGAACGGCTGTCGCATTTTCATGTAGAAACCTTGTGACAAATTAAACATATGTATTGTAAGATTTAACTAACAATATTACATGTTCATTGACGCTCACTCACATCATGGCTCCTTGGCTGATTGAAAAAAAAAACAGAATTACTCGGGATTTGTACATAAGCTTTCTTGCTTATTGATTTTGCAACTCGATTTAAAGGTAAACTACATAACGTTGTAGTGCGACATTACCCTCTGTATGCATTTGGGTGAGAGTAGGTATAATCCAGCAACACTTAAAAAATTCTGTGATAATGAGGCTTGAAGTCTCCATAACAGCTTAGCTCTTGACTTAGGGATTCATAGACATATCCATCTATTCTACATATGATTTGCGCTGCCTTAACTTGTAAAATCACTGCAGACCATCTGAATTTGAAATGCTTGAAAAGCCCAATTGACTTTTCGCTCTGTCTTGAAAAGGAACTATGTCTTCTGTGTAGTCTGCCATTGAATTCACCGATAAAATAGCAATTGTATAGGGCCAGTTTATTGTGAATATATATGAAAAGAAGCCCTATATTTCGCCATGCTAAACATGTAGCGTACAACAGCTAGGACTGTTTCAGGAGATTTGCAATTGGCTACTTACTCTTCGGTGGATTGGCTGTGGCTGAAAGAGAAAAAGGTGATACTAAGTGACATAGAGCAAATATATACAAAAAGTGAATTGAATTTACTAATATTTCTTCAGTAAAACTTAAGCACACTTTAGGGAGTAATTAGTGATTAAACTTTACGAGATTTGAAGAGGTAGTGAAGATTTCTTATATGAACTCAATCTCACAACGAATACTACATAAAAAGAGCGTGTAGGCACTCTCAGCGCCAATGCTCATTTATTATGTACAAAGACCATAGGTAGATGAGCAGCATCAATATGAAGGTGGTCGGTTTGTGTGATTAATCGTGCATACTCATCATAAAGAAGCAAAGTCACGATTTAGTCTTCTTAGGATACTGTAACATGTGCATTACCTGGCTCATTATTAAGATGCTACTGTCTTGAAGAATAAAATAGAAAGAAAATCAGAATCATATCATCGATTGGCAATTCCCAGTATTAATTAGCAGAGGAAGTAACAAAACGTAATCTTATGGTACAACCTTGGGTGAAAAATAACTAATATTCACGAGTGCATATTATTGCACATAGAAAGAACAACAAGCTACAGTAGCGCCTAGCATTGTTTTCGCACCAACGAAAAAATGAAGCAACAAGAAAGCACTTACTGAATTTTTCCTGTAGTCCTCTTCCAAGTGTGTTTCCGAAAATGTCGCCACCCCCTTTGGCCGTTATGGCGTCTGTAATAAAATGTTTTGTCGGCATCAGTGAGGGAGATATTCGATTTCAGTGAACAGCTCGATAGTTTAGGTGAGAACCACTTCATTAAAAGAAATCATGTGCTTGAAGACGAATACTTCTATCAGTGTTGGTGTTCAGGTCACTCCTGTTGGTTCATTAGGAATTTTATCAAATTACTTGTAAGCCAATCAATACACCGTGAGTGGTAGCTAAAGTACACGTCACGTGCCCATGAAATACAAAAAAACGTAACGATGCTGAGTAATTACTAAGTATATTAGGGAAACTGGCCACCTTATATACGAAGTTTCTCTTGACGAGAAGGGTACCAGAAGGGTACCATGAGAAACGAGATGTCAAGGACTTGAAAAAATCGAGGCCAATCAGCCTACTCTGCGTTCTTTACAAACTTTTCAATAAAATAATAGCTAATAGAATTAGGGTGATATTAGGGTTCAATCGACCAAAAGATTAAGCAGGATTTTGTGCAGGCTACTCCACAATAGACTGTATTAGTACTATCAATCAGGTACTAGAGAAATGGGCGGAATACAAACAACGGCTATAAATAGCTTTCATAGATTACAAGAAGGCGCTTGACATAATCGAGACAACGACAGTTATGCAGGCACTACGGAATCAGGGCATCAACGAGCCCTCGATAAACATACTGGAAGAAATCTGCCGTGGATCCACAGCAACCATAGTTCTCTATAAGGAAAGCTATAGGATCCCAATAGAAAGCGTGTAAGGCCGGGAGACATCATCTTTCCAATGCTATTCGTCGCGTGTTTACAGGAGGTTTTTAGAGCCTTAGATTGGGAAGAGCTAGGGATAAGCGTTATTGGAGTGTATTTTAGTAACCTGAAATCCACTGATGACAATGTTTTCACGAATAACTTAGGGGACGCGTTACAGCTCATCATTACTGAACTGAACATTGAAAGTAGAAGACTAGGTCTAAAATAATATGTAGAAAACTGAAGTATAGTGCAACTGACTCGGAAGCAAACATCAGTGTCCGATATAGGTGGAGAGGCGTTGGAAGATGCAAAGAAATATGTCTACTTAAGACAGGTAGTAAGTGCGGAGCCAGACAATGAGAGTGGAATACTTAGAATAATAAGGATGGGGCGGATCACATTCCTTAAGAATTCTCAAATATTGAGTGGTACTCTGCCACTAACCCTCACGAGAAAGGCATATAACAGCTGCATCTTGCCGGTACTTACTTACGGAGAAGAAACCTGAAGGCTCACAAAGAGGGTTGAGCTTAAATTGAGGATGATGCAGCCAGGGAAGGTAAAGAAAATGATAAGTGCATCCTTAAGAGACAAGAAGAGAGCAGAGTGAGCCAAGGAACAAACCGGAATTAAGGATATCATAGTTGAAATCAAGAAAAAGAACTGGACATCGGGAGCATGTAGCGCGTAGACAGGATAACCACTGGTCATTAAGGGTAACTGACTGGATTCCCAGAGAAGGCAAACGCACGAAAGGTAGACAGAAAGTTATGTGGGCCGATGACATTCAGAAGCTCGCAGGTATAACGTGGCAACGGAAAGCACAAGACCGGGTTAACAGGCGGAACATGGGAGAGGCCTTTGCCCTGCAGTGGGCGTAGTCAGGCTGCTTACGATGACAGCAGTTCTTTATGGCCAGCTAAGTTAGAGCACACTCACACGCATCTTCGATACGCCGTTTAATGAAGCGAAATCCATACATGCAGCAAAGATTTATTTTGAGCAAGTTGGTGCATACTTGAACACATATTTGGGTTGCGCGAAAAAAAAAAAAACACGGACGAAGGAGTGCTGTTTCACTCTCCTTCGTTCGTGTATTTTTCGCGCAACCCCAATTTGTGTTCAAGACTACACATGCGTCGGTCCGTGAGAGGTTAACGATGTTTTGCGAGACCTGCCGATACTTCGGGAGACCTTGTCGGTGGTGGTCTATAAGCGCATCATAAAAAAAGTAATGAAAGTCAGTCGAATGCCACGTCTTGCTGAAGTGAACGAATGTGTGTTCGTAGGAGTATTGAAGGCCAGAAAACATCCGTGAGGTCACGTGACTTTTCACAGTAGGATGGCATAATAGGTAAGAGAAAGAACAAGGGTGGCAGATATTGTAGGTTATTTATAGATTGATATGTGGGGTTTAACGTTCCAACGCCCCCATATGATTATGAGAGACACCTAGTCGAGGGCTGCGGAAATTTCAACCACCACGGGTTTTTAGACGTGCATCTAAATCTAAGCACACAGGCTTACAGCATTTTTGCCTCTATCGAAAATGCAACCGCCGCAGCCGCGATTCGACCCCACAACCTGCGGGTCAGAAGCCGAGTACCTTAGCCACTAGACCACCGCAGCTGGGCGCAGTTATCGTAGGTGACATTTAGCAACGAAAATGAACCTGGGCTGGCCAGAGAATACCTACCACTTTAGAGAACGGAAACTGCACCTTTGACTGTAATATCAAAATAAGGGTAGCGGGGGTGTACTGAACTGCAATACTGTGAGGCAATATGGCACTTGTAATACTATGATTATTATTCTACAGTGATTTACAGTGAAATAATTATTATTGTTACACAAGCGCTTTTTTGCTGCACGTTGGGTGACATATTGCTGGTTTGTGTTGCTCGGTCCTTGTGGTGTTTTGTTTTTACAGCAAAAACTCTCATGAGATTACACCAAGGGTCGCTTGCATGCACCGTAGTTGTCCGCTGCTGCTGCCGTCGGCGTCAGTAACTTTTATTGCGGGAAATAAAAAAAAAACAGTCAATTAACCATGGCATTCAAACCGGGGTCATTAGCGTGCCCGCCTAGTATTCTGCCACACAGCCATAATGGTATTTGCAACGAAGTTGCAAACTGCTTTAGGCAGGCTTCACGACGGGAAAAAAATCACGTTAATATGAGTAAGAAGGCGTTTTGAAGCAGCTAAGGCACAGCAAGGCGCCACACAATGCGAACTTTATAATAAGTGGGCCGTCCAATGCTCCAACCCATTACAAAAGTTTATTCGTGTTCACCTAATAACTCTAGTGCACACCCACTTAAGGCATAATTTTTTATCTTCGTCAGCCACAGCATAAAAATGGCACAAAATTTTTTGCAAATATGTAGCGGGTGCCGCGCATCTCCGAAGGATGATAAAAGATGGCAGAGTGAATACATCTCATTTTATTCGGGTTTGGCAAACTCAGCTGCCTGGTCGACTCTAAAAATCAAAGTATAGTTATTACGTTAGTGAATATTTGCTTGTTTTTTTTTAGTTGCAAAGCTTCTTAAGGCGTGGGCTGAGCGTCCTGTCGTAATCATATGTATCCACCTCTTGTTAGTTTTTTACCCGCCGTAGGGAGCGGTACTTGCACATATAACGAAATGAATAAACGCTAAAAAATGCAAGTGGTATCATTGTAGAGGACGTTAGTTGTAGTATGAAAAATAATAAAAATCACAGCCTATCCATTGAGTGAATGATGATGAGTGGGGTGACGCGTCCGTCAGTCCGACTGCGCTTCCGTCCATCCGTTCGTTCTTGCTTCTGTCCATTCATCCATCCGTCCATGCGTCCATACATGCGTCCCTCTGTCCGTCCGTGCGTCCATATGTGCGTCCGTCAGTCCGTCTGTCTGTGCGTCTGTCCCTGCGTTTGTCTATGCGACCATCCATCCGTCCCTGCGTTCGTTCTTGCGTCCATTCGTCCGCCCGTCCGCACGTTCATCCGTTCATCTGTGTGACCATCCGTCCATTCATGCGTCCGTTCATTCGGGCATCCATCTACGCGCCCATTTATCCGTCCATGCGCCCGTCCGGCCCATGCACCCGTCCCTGCGTTCGTCCATGCGCCCATTCGTCCATGCGTCCGTCATTGCGTTCGTCCATGCGCCCGTCTATCCGTGCATCAAACTGACAGACAGAGAGATGACGGACGGACGCGGCCAGCGGATGATTCACGGTTTGCCGATAGAAAGTATGATACGCTCAAGGAGGTCACGGCTCGCGCTCGAAGACGGAACCCTTGATGTGCGAGCGCGCTAGAAGATACGAATGATATCACACGAAGACATTGGCGATCGCGTGTCTGTTGGCGGCGCCGTACGCTTGGGGTCGCGGTGTAGTGAAATAAAAGCTGTTCTGGCGCGCACGCGCTTTGAGAAGGTTGGCGGATATACAAGGCTGCCGGTGCGACGTGCTGGTAAGGTGGCGGCGGCTCGCGCTCGAAGACTGAACCCCGACGTGCGAGTGCGTGAAGCAGAAGCGTGCCGTGAAGCTGAGCGGTGGCGCTGACAAGGTACCGGCGTACGAGAACGAGAGGCCGAAGAAGCGCGGCAGCGGCGTGCGGACCCAGCTTCGCCCGACACTCCATCATTCACCCCGTAAATATGCTATCATTTTTTTTAAATTTCTCACTCACTGGGTCTTTACTTTTTTGACAATGCCTTCCTTTTGTACACAAGTTCTTTTGGTAAGCAGTAGTGTAATTACCGTCTATAGGGTACTATATGTTTTCTTGGCCCATCCCCCAGAGTGGGTATGTGTACAAACATATGAAAAAAAACAAATGAATTTCGGATGACTGTACACATAATATGGTGATTTATTGCGTAGGGGGTACCCTGAAAGTTTGCTTGTAGCAATTACTCAAGATTGTTTAACAAAGGCTCCGAAAGGATGCTCTTCAAGTTTTCGACGTCACTGTGCTGCGTATTCCGCGCGGACCTGGTGGTTTGCTTTGTTGCTAAATTTTGGTTAACGTGTCTGATCATTCTTAGGTGAGTGAAGACATTTAAGTGACAAACAAACAGACTCAGCTGGCCTCGACTGACAAAAACGACATCAATCAAGTAGGGCTTGCTTCATTTATTGCGAGTGTTAAAATCAGTAAAGCAATGCATACGGTCAAGGTTCAAACAAAACAAGTCACTCATACATATCGAAAGTCTCAACTCACTTGTAAAAACTCTTGAAACCTAACGAACATATGAATA